CGGTCCGATCTGAATCCTGGAAATCTGCGCAGATTTCAGCTGGACATCGTCCAGCATGCGCTGCCATCGGATAACAAACCCTTCACAAATCCCCGACCGAAACACGCTGATTCCCCCTCATTTGAGCCTAAACATTCCAAATCCTGGTAAAAAGATGACTCCGCCAAGGAACAACAACCCCCACAAGCCTCAAATGTCGGGGAATTGTAAACGCGTCACAAAAAAAAGCCCAACCTCCGCAACCCGGGCATGGACCGGCTGCAATGACGCAAAACTACAACGTTTGAATCTCTAGTAATTAGCGGCACGTATCATGTGTTTTTGCACGGATTCATGCAGTGAGGGTGAGTGTGCTGGTGGGTTCAGTGCTTCACAGTTTGATATGTGCACCGGTGTGGGAAATGTTCTCGTTGGTCGTTTCTTCTGTGTGTGGAAGAAGACATGTCCATGCGCAAGATGTAAAGCGGGAGTTCGTCTGAGCCTTGCAAGCCCACACACAGACAGCAAACATTCCCGTAAAACGACAGTTTTCTACGCGCCCCGTTTCTCGTGTTGCAAGAATCTCAAGTTGAGCTTCCATTTGCACGTAGGGTCTCGAAACTGAGTCTAAATTCTCAGGGCTGTACATAGGCACGGAACATCCTGCAAATCAGTTATCTGATTAGCTGCAGAAATTATTTCCCCGTCAAAATGCATTCGACATGCTCACACGCGAGACATAAGCGTACCTGGAAGATTTTTGGGTCCCTGGGTCATGCATGTCAGCGTCTTAGCTTCAAAAGGTTCCGAAATTCCTGCCAAAATGTGTCTGCCGTTGCCGAATTTGATGAGTAAAGAGGAAGTGAACGTCCATTTTGCGTCTAGGGACCTGTCCATACTGGTGGACTAAATTAACAAAATTTCAGTTTCATTGATTTCGTACATGTGATGATCGAAATATGTAGAGATACACACATACACATATGTACGTATATACAAAAAGTTACAAACACAGATAACTGTCTCGATAATACATTTTCACCAATCGGAAGTCTCTCTGAAGTTCGTTCATTCGTTTCGATGGTAAATTTGCATCAGCCGCATTCCGGCAGTCCAGTAACCAGTCCTCGTTTGACCATTCTTTCCGCGACTCCGTAACCACCTCTTACACAATTGCTTCCGCAGCCACTTCTCTCGCAACTCCGAAACCTTCCGTTCCGCAGCGCCGAAGCCACTACTCCCGAAACCACCCCTCTAGCAACCATTCCTCCCACGCTGCGACGCAGCCTTGAAACCTCCTCTCCCGTGAGCCGCAAACCACGAATTACCGTACATTTCCAAGCCTTTCCCAATGCCCTTAACTACAACCCCTTCAGTTTCAGCCTCAGTCTTAGTTCAGACCCCACCTCTCTCCAGTTTCAACCGTAAGCTTCTCATTTCCAATCCCTTCCTCCCAGTTCCAATTCCCACTTCCTCATTTCCAACTCGCACCCTCTCAGTTTCAACCCCGCGCACCCTTCTCCCTCTCCCATACAACCCCGCATTTCCTCAGCATCGTCTCCTACCCAACTTTGCCCTGTGCGACCGCTTCAGCGTTACCCAGGACCTTTTAACATCAAGACACTCCAGTCAAGTCTTTCATTTCTGAGCAACTCCACTCTGTCCCAGTTGTTTGACGCAAGAGCGACACAAAAGTAAGGCGATGGAAATGTCTATCACATTGCCAAGTCTGTTTCCACTGCTACTGCCCAGTAGAACCTAGCTGAGAATACGAAAGTGAGTGGATGCTGGGTGAACGCGCCCAGTGATGCACAGAAGTGCCCAGTATTCTGTCATTAAAAATTCAAGAGGTACTAGGACGCTGGTCTCTGAACACTGATCTTAATGTGCACTATGACAGGCAGGGTGAGGAGCGGTGATAACCCCTTATGACCTGGGGCACTCATGTATTGCATCCCGGGATATCTCAGTCCAAAACACATGACTGATTGGCACTAGGTGCACGCCACGATTTATTATTGCCACCGTCGTCCCATTCATCGTCGTTGTCATAATATTCCAAGTTAACGACATCGTTAGTGTTTACTTGCGCCACTATAGATTATCATTATAGTCATCACTGTCATCAGGCCATCGCCAAGATCCCTCGAACTGGAACGCGGTCTTTTCGATTTTGCTGAAATAAAGTTGCACGCCGAGTGAAAGTTAGACCTTCTTATCACTGCTTACCTGCGTTCAACCATCGCGATACGAAACCTTGATATGCATGCAGCATATTTTCGAAGGTCCCGCAGTTCGTCGTTTTCCGTCTCGCAGGTGTTATGCACCAACAAGCACCAGTTACCACAGTTAAAGAATTTTTTTATGCATTTTAGCTGTGCACGGTAAGCAAAAACGCGTGTTGTCGAGAGATCGCGCGTGTTTATGTGTGTTCGGAAGCGGGTGAAATTTGTCACTCAGTTTCAAATCGGCAAGCAGGAAAGCTGGAACTCAGAAATTTTGGTGGCATATTCTCACCCCATATAACACTTCCCCCCACTCCTCCCCCCGCGTTTTAAAATTATCACTCACACGCTACTAGATCTCGCTTGTAGATTCCTTTCCCCCCTCCGCCCCCAAAAAAAGTATGCAAATTTCTTTGGCGGAAAGCGATTTCGTGAACTAGACAAGATAGAGTGCTGAAAATTTACGGAGATATTCTCTGGGCATGTGTAAACTAAAGCTTTCAAATTAAGCTGTCGAGCACACTTGTACCACGCGTACAGTCACATAAAAGTTCGCAGTTGGCACCGTGCCAACTTGAACACTAACTGGAAAACAATAGCAGAAAATTTGACAGAATATTTAACGTCTATCTTGGAAATCGTATACCTAGAGCGAGTTCCGATTTATACTTGCGCCACTTCTTAAAGCACTTCAAAAATATTTGTACCAAACTGGCTAGTTCGCTTATCGGACAAGCTGAGAAGCTAAAACTTTGCAGAATGTCTCTATTCACGTGTGGTCTTAATTCAGCTTGAAGGTGAGATTCCTTGCACACAGACATAACAAATACTCAATCTTGTCGCAAACTCAAAAGCGAATGCATTTTGCGGATTTAGTAATCCTTTTCTGACTTCCTTCAGACTTGCATTTTTCCGATGGACAACATTTCACCGGAAAAACGACCAGTCTTTGTGCAAAAAATTTATAATCATGCACACTGTAGGTCCACGCTGTCCTGTGATGCAACACTACCATCCCATCCTGTATGCAATAAAACGCTAAAACACTGTCAGTATATGTTCAAGTGCTAAACTATCATGCCTTTAACGATTTGACCGTGCAAGTCTAGTGCAAAAACGTATGATCACGCCACTAAGCCTGGTGCGTTCCCGTCTGGGGTCTTTCTTTTGGTGAATCCGGGATATGTTGCCATAACGAGCCATTTCATGAAGCTCACACTCCGAGCAGCTTTCTCTTTTTGTTCGTTTTCCTCACTAGTCAACTTCTTTTCCTTCGCTTCTGTCTTGCGCACCGCCAATAAAAATTTGCAGGGAATGACACTGCATGCCGAAAAGTCAATCAAAATTGTCTGTTCAACGAGAAAACGTGAGACATGTCCACCCCGAATGGCAGTGGCAGCTGCAGTGTCCATTCATTTCTGACAACTGCAAATAAACAAAAGTGCTGGCAGGATTCATAATTAGAACCAGTGCTGAGCTACTTTGGCCGTATCTGTGAGCGTGCAATTTCATAACAGCCAGCACAAGTGCATATAATATGCAACGATATCTGTAAGTGGGAGATTGGTCGGCAGACAGCTAGGCTCAGAGACCAGACCAGTGTAGCCAGGCTAGGAGACCAGGATAGAGCTGCTCAGCTACGCTTCCGCTCTGGGTTGCACACGCTTCTTTCCGCTCCCTACAATTTGGTCAAATTAACGAGTCTTTTGCCTATTCGATATTTGTCCCGCACCGAGTAGTTAATGCATTACCAGCAGGCGTTTATTTCTGTAAGGCCAACATCACTGCTGTTGTTGCAATGATCATCGTTATCAGTATTGTCACTTTTATCATCACCATATCTCCGTAACTGCAACTGCTGGCCACAGATCTCTCTACTGCCGCCACTAGAATACATCTTAATGGTGAGCCAATTTTGCAGGATTCCTCGCAAAACAATTCACTTATTGATTTATAAAATTTCAAATTGGTAGCTGTTGTTGCACATGCTTATTTTAATTTTGTCCTCAGCCAACATTTCCGTAAACAACGAGTGGGGCAGTGGTGCAATGAAGAGGAAAGGCAGAAACTAAACAAAACATTTGCCCAGCTACTTTAATTTAAATTTTAAAACTGAGTATTTGCTATTATTACGAAGATTGTTCAGTTTAT